GGGTGGAGTCCTGGGGGGCAGTTAGGGGCAGGGGTCCCAGGAGGGGGCAGTCAGGGGACAAGGAGCGGGGGGAGGGTTTGGAGTTCTGAGGGGGGGAAATGGGAGGGGGAGGGGCTCCTCCCGTCCTCTTTTTTGCTTGCTGAAATATGGTAACTCTAGATAAACCTGGAGAGGTAGATTGAGATTGGGAGGCAGTGGGGAAGGGGAAAATGGATGAGGAAGCGGGCAACTGAAGGCCAAGATGGGAGAGAGAGATTCGATGAGGAGCTGGGCGTAGGGAACTGGGGCTGGCTAGGCAAGGAGACTGGGGCTGGAAGTCCAATGGGCTGAGACTAGGACTTGTGAACTATGAGACTGGGATTGGGATCAGAAGCCTAAGGAGCGGAGACTGGGACTGGGTAGGTGAGAAGAATGAGGACTGAGATGATGAGCTGGGCTGGGGAAGAGACAGGACTGGGATACGGACAGAACAGAAGGCGTCACACTTGGGGGGAATGGGCAGAAGAGTGTGTAACTACTAGAGCACACTCCCCACCAAGAACCTGTAATGTAACCAAGGAATGTGGAGTCTTAACATTTCTCTTCTGTTAGCAACTATTTGTGAAACCCAAGGGCAAGGCATCTCATCCCCCTCTAGTGACGGTCCATGTAGCAGATAACAATCCTATTACTGCTATTAGATATTCCATTAGCTCAAGTGACAGAGGTTTGTGTGGTGGATCCAGAGGGTCCAACCCCGCTGATAATCCATGATGAGTATTAACATGATGGAATATGATGGAATGTTTTTTTCAGTTTGCTTTTTTAAAAATGCAAGAAGTTACACACACAAAATGTTAAAAGAACACATAAGATTGCAAAGTCAACCACTCAAAAGTTAGGAAATGCCACAATTAAGGTTGCCCATGCAACCATAATTTGGACTGCTTGTGGTCTTATGATATAGTCTTCGATTATATGATCACATATGATTTTTATACAGGACCTCTGACTCACTTTTTTGTAGGGTTCATAGCAGAAGAGAGTTTTTAGGAGGATAGTTAGGTGGCCTTGCAGATGTTTACAGGGAGCTCTTTCCCTGTACATGGAGCAGTATGGGAGAAATCGTAAAAATGCTTGTTGAGTCAAAGTGGAGAACTGTATCCAATTTAAATTATGGGTGGAATTTCATCAGGCAGAATGTTATCATGTCAAATGGAATACTGCCAGAACCCTTTATCCTGCAAAACAAATGTGGGATCTTCAGTGTCTGTCACAGATGCAGAAGGTTCTCATCTGTTCTCCTCTTGTAACACCTCCACTTGCCTGAATGACCCCATCCCAACCCACCTCCTGGTCTCCCTTGCATTCACTCTCATCCCCTTCCTTTTCTCCTTAGCGTCTCACACTTCTCTGGCTCTTTCGCCTCATAGTACAACGCTTCTTTAGGTTCTCCTACCTTAAAAAAAAAACAAAAACTCACCCTTGACTCCACTTGTCTCTCCAAGTACCACCCCATCTCCTTTTCATTTCTAAGTTCACTGAACATGCAGTTTACAATAACTGTCTGGAGTTTCTCTTCTCCAGTTCCATCCATTCCAATCTGGCTTCTGCCTCTTCCATGCAACTCAAAATGCTCTTGCCAAAGTCTCTAATGACCTATTCCTAGCCAAAGCTCGGACCTAATACTCCACTTTCATACTACTTACTCTGTTCGCCACCTTTGATGTAGTTGACCATGCTCTTCTTGAAACCTTGTCCTATCTTGGCTTTTGTGGCTCTGTCCTCTCCTTGTTGTCCTCCTACCTCCCTAATTTCTCCTTCAGCATGTCCTTTTATCCTCCTCTTCCCCCTTCCCCTCTCCAGCCTTCTGTCTCACAGGACTCTGTCCTTGTTCCCCTTCTCTTTTGCCGCTACACCTTATCTCTGGGCAAGCTCAACAGCAAGCACAATTCAACTACCATGACTCACAAATCTACCGTTCTTCTCCAGAACTATCTCCTTTTGTCCATATTAAAATTGTGGCTTGTCTCTCGCTGACATCTCCTCATGGATGTCCAGCCATCAGTGCTTAATCTCCCTTCTCCCAAGCCTTCTCTACTGCCACCTTTCACAATCACTGTGGACAACATCACCATCCTGCCTGTCACTCAGGCCTGTAACCTGGATGTTATATTCAGCTCAGACCAATCTCTAGGTCCTTACATCCAGGCTACCTTTAACTCTTGCAGATTCTTTCTGCATAGCATTCCTAAACTACAGCCTTTCCTACCCATCCACTCAGCTTAAATCCTTATCTAGGTACTCATGTCAATGCCTCAATTATTGCAACGTTGTTTTCTCTGGCATTGAAACATGTGATCTTGCCCTGCTCACACCCATTCAGACTATTGCTACAAACACTGTTTGCTTAGCCCATTCCTTTGACCAAGTCACCCCTTTCTTTGCATCCCTCCAATATTACAACAAACATAAGGTCCTTGTGTTCACTTTTAAGACCCATCACTGCCTAGCCTCATCCTACTTATCTCTCATTCACTATCAAAATGTCCACTCCTGTCTACATGCTGCCAGCCTCCATCGCCCACTAGCCAAATTTTCCAACATGTTTTCTTTGTTTTCTGCCATGCTGCCCCCTCAACACTCACGGGGCACTCCTACATACATCCACAAAGCTACCCTTCAAATCCCACCTTAAAACTCTCTTGGCAACTGTTACACCAGCGGTGTGCTGAGACCACTGCCTACCATTCAGACCAATATTGTCTTATTGTTTCCTTGTACCCTTCTGTCTGGCACTATTCATCTCATCTCTTACATAGATTGTAAGCTCCTTGGGGAAAGAACCATTTGCTTTTTGTTCTCTGTACAGGTTTTAAATGTTTTGTGGATCCTTTGTGGTGAAGAGCACTATATAAACACAAGATATTAATTTACTTCAAAGCATACAAAAAAAAAATCTACTTTAGAAGATGTGGCTGCCAGAAGATCACTAAGCACAGAACCCCCCAATCCTGCTCAGACTGTTGTCTCTGTTCATTTAAATTGTAACCTCTGTACAACTCACTTTTCAAACACCTTGCAGTTGTAACAGCAAATAATTAGTAGCCTGATCGTTTTTTTCTCAGCAGTAATCTGGTTCCCAAGGGGATGAACTAGTAGCCTGAAGACCAAGTGGTTTGTCACGAGGGACCAGGATTACTTCTGAGAAAAACAGTGTGAGGTGACTATAAATAACACATGGCTAGAAGCCAGCCAACACAAGCCATTTCATGGTTATTAATCTTTCTGTCAAGTGGGCCATCACTAACTTTAAATGCAGAATGTGACACTGATCCGGGGTTAACAGGAACATCGGCAGAGAAGAGCAAGGGCTGGACCCTGGACCCACTTGGCTGTTTTTGTTTAGTTTGTAATTTATTGCCGGTCTCTAAAGCGTGGCTGTAAATACAATTAAAGTCAGCTAAACCCCAGCAGGCTGCACAAAGTCAGGCAGCCAGCACAGGCCGCTGGGTGGGTGGATGGATGGATGAGGAGCCAGGGCTGGCTGCAGGGTGGGTCAGGCAGCTGGGTGGCTCAGCAGCCAGGGCTGGCTGGGGTCAGGCAGCGCCGGGAGCTGGAGGCTCGCCCGTGGGAAGGAAAAGCCAGACGATTACGTGTCTGCAGGGCCCGACGTGCCGCCCTGCTCGGCTTCCCATTGGTGCCGGAGCGAGTGGGTGACGGTGGGCCCGGGCGGGCCGGCCCTGTGTGCGCCCCCAGGGGCTTGGCGCGCTTCGCTGTCTCGTTCGCCCCCTCCCGCGCCGGCCCGGGCAGCGCAGGGAGCAGCGTGCGGCCCGGCCTGTCTGGCTGCGCCGGAGCGGAGAGGTGCGTGAGCGGGGCCGGGCGCTGCTCGGGCTCCCACCGCTCCCGTGCGGGGGGCGCCGCAGGCTCCTGCCTCGTCCAGCCGCCCGGGCTGCGCTGGGGCTCCCAGGTCAAGGCGGGGGTGGCGCGCACGGGGACCGGCGGGCAATTCCCGAGCCCGGCCGCCTCCCCCACGCCTGCGGGCGGCCCGGAGCCAAACCCGCCTCCCTAGGCGCAGCCCGGGGCCTGGTCTGCTCCTCCTCCTCGCCCCTTCCTGTGTGGGGGCCAGTCTCCAGGGTCCCCTGGATGCGCCCCTTCCTGTGGGGGGCCCCCGTCCGTGTCCCCCTGAGTGTGTCTCCTCCATGTGCCCCTTCCTGTGTGGGGCCCCCCATCCTCAGTGTGTCCCCTCCACGCGCCCCTTCCTGTGGGGGGGCCGTCTCCAGTGCCCCTCCATGCACCCCTTCCTATGTGGGTCTCCCCAGTCCATGTCCCCCCTGAGTGTGTCTCCTCCATGTGCCCCTTCCTGTGGGGGGTCCCCCATCTTCAATGTGTCCCTTCCATGTGCCCCTTCTTATGGGGGGCCCCTGTGCCCTTTCCATGCGCCCCTTCCTGTGTGGGGGCCCCCCATTTCCAGTGTTCCCTCCATGCACCCCTTCCTGTGTGTGTCCTCACCATGTGCCCCTTCCTGTGTGTGTCCTCGCCATGTGCCCCTTCACACACTCCTTCCTATGTGGGGCCCCCCAGTCTGTGTCCCCCCTGAGTGTGTCTCCTCCAGGCACCCCTTCCTGTGGGGGATCCCCCCATCTCCAGTGTGTCCCCTCCATGCACCCCTTTGTGTGTGTGGGGGGGGCCCAGCCCAAGTGTGTCTCCTGCATGCGCCTCTTCCTGTATGGGGGCCCCCATCTCCAGTGTGTCCCCCATGTCCCACTTCCTGTGTGTGAGGCCCCCTTTTTGGCCCCCCGTGCCCTTTTCTGTTTGAGGATCTATCCATTTGCTTTCTCTCTCTCAGTGGATATGCAACTTCCCCTTTCCACTGTCCCCCCTACTCCTGTGTCTCTGTCTTTTTCCCATGCTCTCCTTCCTCAAGGTTCTCATTTCTCCCCAACCCCAGTGTGTACTTGGAACTCACCCTCCCGGATGCTGCCTGGGGATTTTCAAGGTTCCCTGAGCACCACCACCAACATGCTTTGACAGGTAAAACACCTCTCTGCATGCACTGACTCCCCGTGTCCAACTCGAAGGCACTGAGAGCAGCTCCAGCGCAGAATTGGGCTTGCCTTTCTGGCTTCATTGAGTCATTTTTGCTGCTAGCAGACTAAGTAAATTACGTGTGTGTTTTCTACCCCCCCCCCCCCCACTAATCTTATGACTTTTCCCCATGAAAGAGTGGGAAAAAAATTGGAAAGTATGGTATGCATTATCATAATCCGAAAACTAAATGTGGATCGTCTTCTCAAGACAATTGCGCTAGCCAGAGAGATCATGGTTGATAGCATTGAACTAAGCATTGTAGAGTGATGTTCCCAGATCGGGCTCAATCATGCAAATCCAGGATTGAGCCTAGAACAATATGGGAAACTTAAAATTGTTTTATAGTTAGGAACACTGCATCTATGAAACACTGTAGGTTCTCCAGGCACAATAATTATCTCCCTTCATTGGGGTTTTTATTTTTAATGTCACTTTAAAATAAGACAGCACAAGCATTTCTGATAGCTTGCTCTTGAATGTATGTAGTACTGTATATTAAAATCCTTGTGACCCCGCCTGCTACTTTTTCTGGCAGAACACATTGACAGATACAATATGGTGGGTTCCAGTCATGCCTTCTATCCTGTTGTACAAAGTCCATGGATTTTTATTTTATTTTGAATTTTATTTTGAATAATGGAACTGTTCATTTAGTTCAGTTATTGACTGGGAAAGAAATGAGTGCTATGTAATAACTCAGTTGGACTCATGGTGTATGTGTGCTGTTCTCATCTGCTGCAACCTCCGGTCTTCATTCCTTGACTACTAATATTGTCTGTTAAACTGCAGTGGGAATTCTAAGTATGTAACTCACACACTGTCTGAGTGTGGTGTTCTGTCCCATCTACTGGTACCGAGACCACTTAGAGAGAGTTAAATGAGTCTGTTCTACAGCCTTAGCTAAGAGTCAGTTGGCTTTTAGCTCATGCAGTAGAGGCTCATGCATTCAGCTCCAGAGGTCCCGGGTTTGATGCCGACCACCGGGGGTCTGTCAGCATTACAAGTGCACACACAACGCAAGATTGGGCCCCAAACAGTCTCTTTGGAGATATCTGTTTAATGCATTCTTCTTGCTTCCTTATGCCTAGAGGAAAAGTCTATGTGCATTCCTTGTCCCAAACCTCACTTTTCTCTGCCAGTTACTATTTTCAAAGCTGAATGCAGGAACTTACTGAAAATTCAGTGTAATAGTAGAAAAAAACAGACCACACCCAGGCACTTGCATGGTGTTGTGTAAATTAAACTTCTGTTATCTGGAAAAGGTCATAGGGCCAGCTCAAGTGTAGAGTCAGTAAAAAACAGCTGGACTGACAGCAAGTTTGTGTGTACTGTCTGTTTATCAAACAACATTTGTTGTGCCAGGATGTGGTTAGCCTTGTAGCAAAGAATCACAAACAAATTTCAGATGGCCTCTTGCAGATTGTTTTTTGTGAGAAACTAAGCAGGTAGGTTTACATTAGAACTGACTTCTCGGGCCTCTTTAATAGGTTTTTCTATTAGCTGATCTTTTAGCATTAGTTGAAAAAAATAAAGCTGAACTTAGAATTGTTGGAATGGAACAATGGAATGGCCTTACCAAAAGTGTAAAGAGGTGGAAGTGTCTGGTTGTGACTTTGTTAAACCAGCAGATTCAGCAGCAAGCTCTGCGAGTGCATGTTATATACCGAATAGCAAACAATTTTAAAACAAACAGTTTTAATTCATACTATTCTGAGCACAATTGAGGGAGATGGGTTATTTTATAGTGTATGGTATTCTTAAAAAAAAGTTTTAGAAGTCTTTAGGCCACCTGTTGCTAAACAAATGAATCATACATTTTAAGAAGCACATCCGACATTTCAGGTAGACAGGCTCTTGGTCTTTCCGAATGCCCCAAGCATGCGTTTGAATAATATACAAGTGTTATGACCACTATAATGACACAAAAAGAACAGGAGTACTTGTGGCACCTTAGAGACTAACAAATTTATTACAGCATAAGCTTTCGTGGGCTACAGCCCACTTCTTCG